AAATAAATAATAATAATAATAATAACAATAATTGGGAATGGAAAGCCAGCAGTCAGACACGCATGGTTACCCAGGTACTGGGAGGACACGTGTGGCTTGGAGGGTGTCACTGGGTCATGGTGGGGTTGTCTAGAGGCTTCTCAGGCCCCTGACTGCGAGATTTGGCTCTCCCCAGACTGGACGCCGGGCATGGCGGTGCCGCGGGACATCGCAGCCGCCTACCTGCTCCAGGGAAGCTTCTATGGCCACTCCATCTACGCCACGCTGTACATGGACACCTGGCGCAAGGACTCGGTGGTCATGCTGCTCCATCACGTGGTCACTCTCATCCTCATCGTCTCCTCCTACGCCTTCCGGTAAGGACAGGATTGGGTGGCAGGGGGCCGAGGCACAGCCCACACAGTGCGGAGGCTGATGATGTTGCCGCAGGGCACAGAGGCGGCCATGGAGGGGATCACATCAGGTCAGAGTGCTCAGGGGTCCGACGAGGGCACAGGCCAGAGGGAGGAAGGCCGAGGAGGGAATGTGGGCCTGGAGATTCCTGAGGGAGATTCCGCAGGGATGGAGTGAAACAGGCCCTGAGCGCCACAGCCACTGCACCCCACTCACCCACCCAGCTCCTCCGACGCTGCCCTTGACCAACCAGGTCACACACGCAGGAGTTCCTGAGCACCTACCATGCCCAAGCAATGGGGGCACGGCTGTGAACGCAGCTGATGCACCCTGATGTTCCAGAGCCAACCACGGCCATCACTGAGCCTTTCAGATGGAGTCTGTGCAAACCTCACCGTGCTGTGTGCATAAAATCCACCCCGGCTTCAAAGCCTTCGTATACAAACAAGAGTGAAAGTATCTTATCCACCCTTTTATTTCTCTTTTTTTTTTTTTTTTTTTTGAGACAAGGTCTCGCTCTGTCACCCAGGCTGGAGTGCAGTGGCGTGACCATAGCTCACTTTAGCCTGGACCTCCGGGGCTCAAGTGATCCTCCCACCTCAGCCTCCTGAAGTGCAGGGATTACAGGCGTGCGCCACCACGCCTGGCCTTGTTATCTTGACTCCATATTGAAATGACAATAATTTGGATATGTTGAATTAATTGGAATCCTTTATTAAAATTAATATTACCTGTTCTTTTCCCTCTCTTGTTAAATGTGGCTGATAGAAACTTTAAAATGAAATACACTGCTCATCTACTATTTCTATGGGACTAGCCGCCCTAACTGCGATAATGGAGTAGCCACGGCCCACAGATATAGAGCAACAAAGAGGCAGCCCTTTCAACTTTAATTAAACTTAAGTAAAACTCCAGGAGCAGGGACTCATGCTTGCAGTCCCCCAGCTACTTAGGAGGCTGAGGCAGGAGGATCGCTTAAACCCAGGAGTTTGAGTTCAACCTGGGCAACATAGGGAGACCCTGTCTCTAATAAATCAATTTTTAGGCCGGGTGCGGTGGCTCATGCCTGTAATCTCAGCATTTTGGGAGGCCGAGGCGAGCAGATCACGAGGTCAGGAGATTGAGACCAT